AAAATCAAAAAAATCATTTTTTCAATTATAATTTTTTTAAGTAATATAGTTATCGTAAATTACAAATTTTAAGTTAGTTTAATATAAAGCTAGATATAATTGGAAGGAGTGCGCTAAAATCGTTTTTAAATGTTTCAAAACATAGTAAAAACTATATGAATTCGTTATTTAAAATCCAGGAAATTTCAAAAAGTGTTCAACAAAATAAGTTAAACTTGTTCCTTCGACTTCTTAATAACAAAACAACTGCAGACATTATCTTTTCACAACTGCAACACCCGTTATTTCAACATTCGTTTGTTAGTGATATTCAGGAACTATGCCATCTTCAGATATTAAATTTTCAAAACCTAATTCAAAATAAAAAGAAGGTAAAAATACCACTTTCTAAAAGTAAAATTCCTTCCGAAGTTGAACGAAACTTGAAGTATGCAATAGAGTGCTGGAATGCAAAAGAGCAAAGAGGAGTTTTCAAGCTAATTCTGGAAGAAAACGTTTTTAAGCAAAGTCATCCGAAATAACTTTCTTATTTTTTTCTTTTTACCTTGTAAATTGGGTGTTAAATAAATAAAATAATAATAATAATAATAAAAAAAAAAAGCTAATACCATTAAAAACTATTTTTTAATAAAGCGATGTAAGTAAATTTTATTTTTCCATAGCAACACTTTGTTTATTCTGTTGCTATACAGCTGAAAAGGAAATTGTATCACAATTATAGTATATATTTTTTATATAAAATACCAAATGTGGTGATTACAACTTTAAAATTACTTTTTGTTTATTGAATAATAATTTTGGTGCATTTGACTACATGAGTTTTATTGAAATTTCCTACTATAGTTGCTGTTTTCTGTATCACTCTACTTTTTTTTTTTTTTTTTCAAACATCTTCGCTTCCAACAAGGCTGCAAGCAACCACTAATTAGTGTTGGAAGTTACTGGAAGAGAAAAGATGAAGATTGTAGAGCAAGATAACGACTGACAGACGACTTAAAAGATTGCAAATTATATGAATCAGGAAAGCAAGATGAAGGAAGCGAATTCCAAAGAACTGATGTTCGAGAGGAAAAACTAAACGAATAAGTGTTTTTGGAGCACTAAGGAACAGTAACAGAAAAAGAATTAATTGAATGACGAGTAACACAAGAATGAATTTTAGTAGATGGCACAAGAGACGCTAGCTCTTTCGAGCAGTGCCCATTATAGTATTTGTAGAAAAGAGAAAGAGAAGCAACATTACGACGATGTGACAAAGATTGAAGGTTGGCTGCAAGACCAGGTCCAACTAAGTTTACAATGCGTTTTTGCACCTTGTCTAAAAAAGACATGGCATCATTAGAAGATCCGCCCCAGATATGGCAATAGTATTCCATACAAGGACAGGTTTGAGATTTATAGAGATAGAGAATTGAATCCAGAGTTAGAAAGTGTCAGACTCAATAAAGAGATACAACTTTAGCAGATGCTAATTTTGCAACGGATTTGATATAAGATTTTTAAGAAAGACTTGAAGTAAGAGTTAATCTTAGAAGATGAAGGGTAGATTACTCATTGAGTAGATTACCGTTCATAAATATAGGAAGGTCTAAATTATTGCGATAATGATTGGCTGAAAAAAATTGAGTTTTATCTGAATTGAAGTTCACCAGCCACTGTGAGCCCCATTTGCCCCATCTCTTCAATTAAATAATATTAGTAATGGAAAGTAATGGAAAAAAAAGAAAAAAGAAATAAAACAAGGTATAGTAAAATACTTATTTAAACTTTTTAAAGAAAACCAAAATCAATCAACAAGCATAGCAGCTGAAGAAATTCTATCTTTTGCATGAACTAAAATTTGAATGTAGCATAGCAAAAAAATTTAAATTGACATGTGTGCATCCAGATCCAAAAGTAAATAATCTTCAAAACTTTTAAATAATGGTTTTGTAAATAAAAATAATAGTTCTGCTAATTACGATCAGTTCAATGTTACAAATGACTGCTACATGAACACCAACATATGACTTATATGTTGGTGTAATTAATTTGTAAATAATTTAAAAAATACATTTTAGGAAGTTTTTGATAGCAAACAATAGCAGCCATTATTCCATCTCATAATATGACCTGGAATAATGGAATAATGACCATGCGATAATCCAATTTAAAGATTTTTCAGCCTAAATATGGTCAAAAATGCCTTATTTATTGATCGTCTAGTATTTTTCTTATAAAAAAAAATCTGTTCAGTATACTTTTTTGATCTTGGTACATGATCTTCTTTATTGTATTAAAAGTAAATCTAGAAAACTTCAAGTTAATAACTTTTGAGATAATCACCTCAACGAAATGATGATCTTTTTCGGTTTCTGGGACCAAATTTCTGAAATCAAAAAAATTGATTTTTTTTGACTTTTTTTTTTAATCTTGTTATTCAAAAGTAAATTTTAGACAATTTAGATGTTATAATATCTAAAATGTAATTTTTGAAGGATTTTATTTAATTAGTGGTCTACCACTTTAACATAATTAAGATATATTAAAAAAAACCTTATGATTTTCATTTACAAACTGTTTGATTTTATGTTTTTCAGTTAAAACTTTAAATACTGCAACTTTAGCAAAACCGCAAGTTAAAGGATCGACAATAGGCTGCTTTGTCATAATAAAAGATAAAGTTAATCGTATTATAAATCTTTTGTGAAAATAAAATTTTTACTTGTTCTTTTGTTTTCATAAAAAACTCGTTCCTTTGTTTTCTGAATTTGCTTAATTAAGCAAATTGCCCACGTTAACGTTAATGGTAACATTCCATGGACGTCTCACGTTCACGGTAACAATTCACGAACGTCTCTTGTTCTGCTGCAGTGCGGATCTTATGTAAACCCCATTGGAAAGTTCTATGCAATGGTAATTTAAAACAGAATGTTTTAAATTGTTCTAGAATGTTTTAAAGTCTTTTAAAATATTCTCTTGTTTTTCTAAAGTTCTAAACACTTCTAATCAATACAAGTTTTAAATAAATTTGCAGGAAAGCCAAACGTATTAGCAGGGCCGCCTAGAGCTATCACACTGCCTGGGACAGCAATCTTGATTGACGCCCTTATCAAATTTTCCCTATATTATGTAGTAGCAGTAACATGATTACATAAATGACGAAACGTAATTTGAATTGTGGGGTGACCTTTTTTTACAAATGAGAGGAATTGAACATATTTTCAATGTTTTCTTATAAAAGTTCATCGATTTATGACACAGGAAATTAATTTTTTTTAAAAAAGTCAAAAAGTTATAACCCTATTGTTGATAGACAAAGTAATTTTATTTTCAATAAAATTTCAATTTCATTGTTTTTGTAACTTTTAATTCTATAAACTGTTTGACGTCTTCCTCTCATTAAAATTATATTCATACTTCCCCTCATCAAAAACGTTAGCAACGGGCCTAATTATCTCTTAACTGAAACCCAACACCCTTTAACGCGCAGATGCGCTTTTCGATAAATTAAATAATGCTTTAAAATTTATGCCAAGTTAAATCGTCAAATAAAATTAAAGATACGCAGATCGTTTTAGTAATGGCGTCTTCGTCTTTCCTTTTTTTTTTTACAAATTACACTTTATTGTGTGAAGCGTTCTGTTTGGTAACAAATTAAATGTATATTAGATTGAAAATTAGTTTACATATTAAATATAATACCATAAAATCTATTTTTTGTGAAAAGCATAAGCAGCTGTAACCATATACTATATGGTTGCAGTATTAATCTTATTTCACATACTTTATGATATATCATATAGTATTAATATTAGTATTACTATATGATATATATTACTTATACTATATCATATAGTAATATACATTTAACAAATTAAATGTATATTAGATTAAAAATTAGTTTACTATATGATATATATATTACTTATACTATATCATATAGTTATACTATTAGTATATATATATATATATATATATATATATATATATATATATATATATATATATATATATATATATATATATATATATATATATATATATATATATATATATACTAATAGTATATATATATATATATATATATATATATATATATATATATATATATATATATATATATATATATATATATATATATATATACTATTAGTATATGTATATGTATAGTATATGCAAAATAAGATTAAAAAAGCGTAACAAATTAATATTTTAGTTTTCTTTTTAACAAAGTATCATAACATAGCTAAAGTAGTGTTTTCTCTTTTTAATTTTAATGATAGATTGTTATTGCGACATAACAACAATAACAATAACTAAACAATAACAATTATAACAACTAATATTATTAAATGGGAATAATAATAATTAAGTATATAAGTATAGCAACAAAATATTGATACAGCGATATAAAAATTAAATTATATGAATAAAAAACTAAATAAAAAGTGTTGTAAATAAATTGTAAAATTGCTTATATAAATATATATATATATATATATATATATATATATATATATATATATATATATATATATATATATATTTATATATAAATTTTTTGTGAAAAATATATATAAATATAAGTTATTTTGTAAAAAATAAGTTATTTTAAGTTATATTATAGAACAGTCTGACATCATACTGAAATAACTAGCTACCAGGGGCTTAAACACATTGACTAACTAAATAAAGATTGTATGCACAGAGTGTTGCTGCATCAACTAAGGGTTTGGGTTCATGCAGCAAACTTTTTTTTTCCTTTATGTTTTTCTGAAAATGCAATATGGAATAAATTAGGCAAAAAAGTTATGCAAATGTCTATCTATATACGTTTATATTTATATATATATATATATATATATATATATATATATATATATATATATATATATATATATATATTTATATATATATATATATATATATATATATATATATATATATAATTTATTTAACATAAAATCATCAAAAAAGTGTTTTTGTCACCCTTATGTTTTGGAATTAATACATTTAAGTTTTTAAGATATTGTTAAATATAATGATGCTGAATTCAACAATTTAGTCAATATTTTAAAAGACTTTGGTAAATATTATCTTTAATGCTTTAAAAGATTTGGAACCCCACAGATTTTTGTATAGTTTTTTATTATAGAAGTACAAAGTAGGAGTGCTTGAAAAGACCTAAATTTGATAAGCTTAAATGGAGGTGGTTAGAAAATATCTTGGTGAAAAAGTTTAATTTTATCGTTACTTATATATTTCATATAGATTTTTTAGTATTATTTTGTGACTGATTTAGGGCTTATATAATTATAAAGCATATAGAGATAAAAAGTAAAATCATATAACTAATTTACAAATAACTTACATTCAAAATGTACTTTTGCTAAAAATGGTAACTATAATATTTCCTTCTATTATAACCATCACAGTGGGCTGGTAGTTTAAATACAGATTCAGCACTTGAATCAAAGTTTTTGCAATTAGATATATAAAAATCTTTATACTTTACTGATATATGTGTATACATATATGTTTATATATATACAGTGTGTTAGCCAGCCCAAATGCACTGCATATACCGCAGAATTCCCAATTGGTCTAAAATTCCCAAAATTCTATGACTTTTTTTTTGTGTGAAGTAATTATACAATATCAATAAAAAATCCTAATATTTTGTAAGACAACAATAAATGTTCCCGATATCATAAAAACACGATACTAATATATTCCTGGCTAACATCCTGATATATATATATATATTTTTATTTTATATAAATAAATGTTTTAAGATATCTGAAAATATATTATTTTTAAATTCACAATTTAAACAAGTGTTAGCAAGACAAGCCATAAGTCTAGTTTTTATTTCAGTAAATAATGATTAATTTTTTGTGACACCCGAAATCAATACAAATAAATTAGCTCTAAGTCTATATTTTTGAATAAAATTGAATAAAAGAGGTATCTCAAGACATTTAAGTCCCCAGAGTGCCATTTGTGAATTCTTAAGGAAAAATCTATTAAGATTCCAAATTTTAAAAAAATCAACCAAATCATTATCATGATATTATATGCCAAAGTTATTTTGTTGCCTCATCAGATAATCATTAAATTGCTGAATTATTTTAAATGACTATCTCAAAAACAGATGTGCATTTTTAGTCAAAAATTTTCTATAACTATTTATTTGTAATGGACTGCATATAAAGTAAATATGAACCAATTCAGAGACTTAAGGGTGACATTTTTTTGATAATTTTATATAGAGTCGATAAATAAAGATATACTATAGATAGGTTTATAAATTATATTTTAGTTGGCTTAAAGAAACTGGTTTCGGAAAATGCAAAATCAAAAACAATCAACCAATCCTGAAATCCTATACAAGAAACGATGTAAATACATTGGTTCTATTGCTATTACTACCCTTTCTCAAGAGGATAGATTACATTTTGTAAATAATAAAATGCTTGAAATGAAAGAGGGAAGTAAAGGTATTGCTGTAATACTTGTTGTAACCAATGAAGGTATCAAAGCATTTAATGAGCGAGAAACAGCTGTTAAGTTTGCTCATAGTATATCTTCCACTGCATTTTCTACCTGTCTTCCTAACAAAAGGCTTTTTGCTTATGTAGCTCGTAGTAAGCAGAGTGGTGGTAAATCAATAATACAAGCTCATGTATTTAGAACAAAAAAATCACGCCATTCCCACCAGCTTAGTTCAAGTGTATCAAATGCATTTAGTATTGCTTTTTCACGTAGTGAGACAAGGCAAAAATCAAGAGAACAAGTTTTCCAATCTGAAACTGAAATACAGTATTCAAAGTCTGTCTCAGGTAAGAAATCTGGAGGTAAAGTTTGGGCAAAGTTAGAAATTGCAAAAGGACATGATTTTGCATCACATGCTGTACTTGCAAGAGTAAAAGGAAATTCCCCATTACAACTTGAAAAAAATAAATCATTTGATAAGGATCAATTAATTGATATTAAAGTAAAATCACCAACAGTTTCATTATCTGAAAATACCACTGTATCTAAAGAACTTACAATTGGATCTAACGAGCTTTCAAATGAGGAACTGACACCTGATAAAACAGAAGATAAAAGAAAAATATCCTCAACTTTTACTCATGAGATTGTCGAATTAAATAGAAAAGATCAACCAACTAAAAATAATGAGGTTAAAGTGAGAGCCAATACTATTGATGTTGTTAATGTTTCTGAAAGATTTTCAGGAAGTTTTTTTCCTGATTCCAATAAAACCCAGCAATATGAAAACATTGTAATTTCAAATAAAGACAATGATATTAAATCAGTTAAGCTACGATCACATACTGAATCTCTAATTAATAATCATAATACATTCTCTTGTAATTCTATTGAAACACCTGTTGATAAGTCTGTTAATGATATACTTGCAAATGCTGAATGGTTTCAACCAGGATTTTCTCGTGAAATTGCAGAAGAAGTTCTTGAGCACCGATCAGTTGGTTCATTTATTATTCGTGATAGTATGAGTCATCTTGGTTGCTATGTAATAACTATTAAAGTTCCACCAAACATCAAGACAAATGGTTTTGCAAATTTTCTAATTGAAAGAGTAGAGAGTAATTTTTTTAGAATAAAAGGGTTCACTTCAACATATCCTACATTATTAGATTTAGTTACATATTATGGTTCTATAGAACAAGATATACCCTGTCGATTGCGTCTTGCAAATAATAATCCATTATTTTCTGAAAATATTAATACTGATTTGTCAGATAAGTTAAATATTAATGATGATAGCGACGATGATGATGAGTACGATGATCCTGATTATGAGTATTTTAATACCACAGATGAAATTATGAGAGAACTGCAATCTCAGTAATATATTGTTTTAATTTTATTAGTATTAGGTTTATAAATCTCAGTCAAGTTTTTTAAGTGTATACATAAACACATTTACAGCATAGGTTTACAGAAATTAACGTTTATTTATTTGTAAAGTTTATTTTTATTTATCAGCTTTTTGTCTCTTTGTTTGTTTGTTTTTTAGACATATTTTTATAATGACAAAATGTTTTCATGACGTTTTTTTTGAATTTTATAAATTTGATTTATTGTTAATTTTTTTTTTTTTTTTTGATTTGGGAAATTTTTTAGATTCAGTTTAAATAATTTGTTCTAGTTTAGGTGCTAGATTTTTATAAAATCTTTTTAAGTAAATCTAACAATATGAGTGTAAGAACTTTTTACATTTCGAATTGTTTTTTTTTCATTATGAAGAGTTTTATTATTTTTGTAAATTTATAATTATTTTATATTTTGTTATATTAGTGATTTAATTTTTGGTAAATTTAATATAATTGTTAATAATTATATTAAAAAAATTGTTTGTAATATAACTATTATTATCTTTTATAAGCTAAATTATTTCTATTTGTAAGGTTTTTATACCAGATTTTTAAATATTTAACTTGGTGTTTTGTTCAGTTTATTTACAGTTATTATTATTATTATTATTTTTAATATTATAAATAACAATGTAATGTAATGTAAATCAAATATATTTTATATTATCATAATGAAGTTACCATATAAGTAATTTAATATTGTCAGGAAATAAATTATATTGATGTTATTTGTATCTTAGCAAACGATTATCTACATCAATATTCCGGGTGCAAAGAATTTCTGGAATTTTTTCTTATTTTTCAAGTTTTTTTTTAAAAAACCTTTTTTGACAAAAAAATTATAAAAAGTCTGGTTAATATTATTCAAATTGTTGTTTATTAGCTCTTTTAAACATATAGGTGTTTTAAAGGTATTTAAAAGTTAATTATGTTACTTTAAAATTTTTTTATATGTGTTAGAAACTATAATATATTATCATCTATTTTGTAAAAAAATTTGAATAGGATCTTGTATTGTATTTTTTTTATTGCATCAAATGTTTATTTAAATATATAAATACATTCAATTCTATATTTTTCTTTACACATATATTTCTTATTTTTGATTTTATATTTCCTCATTTTCCTCATGATTTATTAAAAATATATTAATAGCATTCAATATGTATATATATATATATATATATATATATATATATATATATATATATATATATATATATATATATATATATATATATCAGGGGCTATTATAAACTGTTTTCCACAGCACCTACCATATTTGGGCTCCGCCCAAATTCAGAAAATAAGGACCTTTTTTTTATACAACAAATATTGTTTTCTTTGCGAAAAAAATGCTACATACTACAAGTTTTCTTATGTCAGACGCCATGAAGAGGATAGGGGAGGGGTCTTACTGCAGCCCAAATTATTATCCTAGAACATCCCCTGTATTTATATATATACATATATATATATATATATATATATATATATATATATATATATATATATATATATATATATATATATATGTATATATACACTATATATTTATGTATCATTTTTCTCCAACACGATTTAAAAGACTTTTTTTAGTGTAAAAACTCTAAAAATCATAAACTTTTTGGATAAAACAGTGCCTCTTAATTAGTAAATGACCGGGGTTGATATTTGACTGGGGCCAGGGCCGGGTTTGATAAAATATAGCCAGGGTTGAGGCCGGGTTTGTGATTGGGGCTGCATAAATATTTATACATCCTAAAGTATATTTTTTTAATCAAAATTCATTTTATATTTTGTATATATATATGCTTATATAAACATCATTATGATCAACATGATAATCATAATCATCATTACCATCATCATTATCATCATCATCATCAATATCATCATCATCATCATCATCATCATCATCATCATCATCATCATCATCATCATCATCATCATCATCATCATCATCATCATCATCATCATCATCATCATCATTATCATCATCATCATCATCATCATCATCATCATCATCATCATCATCATCATCATCTTCTCTTTTAGCAACTACACCATATAAATAATAAAGTTTATAAAAATATGAAAGGATATTGTATGCCAATATCTAAATAAACAGCAAACATATATGTTTATATCCATAATATGTATGCATAAAGTGCATCTCAGAAGTTTTTATTCCTTCTGGACTAAAAGTTTTGGAATCTTTTATTCCTACTCTTCAAAGTCAAACCTCATTCTACTCCATATTTTTCACCATCTTGAGCAGTTGCTTTATTAATCATTTATTTCATCTTTTTTAGAAGATCATTTTAAGAACAAATATCCTTTTATTATTCCAATAAGCTAATGTAAAAAGGTCCTGTCTGATGTTAAGCTCTGTTATTCTCAGTTTATTAAATCTTGTATCTTATATCAAATGTTAGGTTCTATAGACTTTTGGTTTGTCTTCAACAATGTCATTAACTAAAGTAAGCTTAACATTTAATCTTATTAATTATATAATATTTAATAATATTTAATTTTTAAAAAGTCATGTAGGTATTTAAATAAAGCATCATTGTAAAAGAAACAGATGGCTTTTTTATTTTAGTCTATTTTTTGGTCTAATTTAAAAAATGTCAGTTGTTTTACAATTCAGTTTTTTTAAATCCTTGTTTGGTTTCCCTTCTTTTGAGTGCTCACATGATGTTCTTGGAATAACATTATTTGTGTTAATAAAATCTGGAAGGGTAATACATTGTTCAAATCATAAAAGTTTATACTTATCTGAATCAATTTATAAAGGAAGATCTTTTTACATGTTTCAAATTCTCAACTTAAAAAAGAGAAGTTTTAAGTGTCAAATTTTTTTTTTTTCTTCTAGATATTAAAATATCAATTTACTTACAACTAGTCTATTATTGTTTTTTGTGGTCCATATTTTGCGGACTTTATTTAGTGCACAGTTTTTATTTTAAAAGTATCATTTGTGAATGAAAAGTAACTTTAATAAACATTCAAAGAAAATACATTAAATACAAAAAGTTCATGAAATTTTTTTAAAGAGAAAAGTTATATATATATATATATATATATATATATATATATATATATATATATATATATATATATATATTATATATATATATTTCTAATTTAATTATTTATTTTGTCATTTACAATATTTTTACAACATAAAAATTTAACGGATAAAATTTTTGACCGGAGCTGTCAGAAAACAATATCTTATCATTCAGACCCATTAGTTTAACTGAAAAATGCAGCTGATAAAAAATAAATAAGAAAGGGCCATCCATAAATGATGTCAGTAATAGTAAACATATATATATATATATATATATATATATATATATATATATATATATATATATATATATATATATATATATATACATATATATATATATATATATATATATATATATATATATATATATATATATATATATATATATATATGTTTACTATTCTTATATTTTTTTTTAAGAAACTGATTAAATAATAATTTAGGTTTTATATAATTAAAAATGGAAAACAAGCATGAAATAGAGATTACAATTGGTGAACCAATAGCTATAAAAATTTTAGATACTTGTGTTGGAACGGTAATATTTAAATAGTGTTTTGTAAAAAAAAAATATTGATATGTTGCCAAGTTACATATTAATATATAATAGTAATTTACTATTGTGTATATAGTTATTTATACTGTTTAATAAAGTATATTGTTTGTATTATTTGATAAAATATATTCTGTTCAAAAAACTTGTTCCATTATTTTTAGTGCATACTGTAACATTTATTCACAGTTAATTTTTTTACGTCTTTTAATCTAGGATAATCAGCGTTATTACAAAATTCAGTGGCAGCCTACTTGGGAAACTGAGGAAGATATTTTATTAAAGTATCAGACGCTTGTTGAGGAATATTGGAAATTTTCAACTCACCAAAAGCTGGGAATATTAAATACGGAAGCATCAATTTTATCAAAAACAGTTGAAAATGATGGTAAAGCTTTTATTTTGGTTTAATGATTTTTAAAATTTTACAGTATATTGATGATGTCAATAATTTTATAAGGGCTTTTGATACCCAGCATTTGTCGATTAAAGACTTTTTTTTAAACTATTAAGGTTGGATTCTTTTTGTTAGCAGCATATTAACAATCCTTTTGTAAAGCAGTTCAGGGCCTATTCTAGGAAAAAAATTTGGGCGGCGGTACCCCTCCGCCTCAGAGAAATTTAGCGGAAAATTGTGAAAAACAAACAATATTTGCCTTTTATTTATTATAATTAAGAAATATTTGTTTGCTAAAATCTCTTTGAAATATGCTTCTTTTGAGAACGATAATTCATTTAATTGAAAGAATGTTATTAAATATTTGTGTATTATTTTAACCAATGAAATATTATTTTTTCTTCAGAATTTTGGTGTGTGAGGGGAGAGGGTAATAAAAATTTAGGGAAGAGCTTTTAAGATTACAAAAAAATTCAATGTTGTTTGATAATTATCATGATAATCTTGATAAAACTAAATGTTATATTCTAATTTTGAAGAATATTTATTTTTGTCATTAAATGTAATTACACTCAGAGCAACAAAAAACTCAAAATAAAAAATATGTATTGTATTATTATTTTGCAACTAAATTAGCATTTGTTTTCAATCTTTAAATTGTGTGAATAAATAAAAAATTGTGCAATAAGGTCTACATTTATACTAGTGCAATAAGGTCTACATTTATATTAGTTAAATCAATTAATTTTTATATTATTATCTATTTTATATCATTTACATTTTTTTTTATTTTTTTACATCTATTCTTCATTACTTTTATATTCATAAAGTTGTAGATTCCTTTCCCCACTTTCTTTTAAATGATCTATTTTTGAACAGCAATCTAAATGTTTTAACTTAGTTTCATATTTTTAATATTTAAAATCTTTTTTTTTTTAATGTAAAATAAATGTGATACTGAGCTGATAAATGTGATTTTAAATTGTAGTGCAACTATCACTATGTAGTGTTCAGCAAGCAAATTTTATTTATTTACCAGAAAGATCTCTTATTTAAACTTATGAGATTTTTGTTCCATCTTTATATTTTATTTTACTAGAAATTAAATTTCTTGTAAACATAAAAAATTTGCACAATGCAAACGTTTTAGTAAAAAGGTAAATTCAATAGCACAAGTCATATTGACCATATTGTGATGAAAAATGTTTAATAATTTTTACATAAAATTGCTGATAAAAAAAAGTTAACTATTGGACACTTTAATTCTTGCAGTATTTAATGTGTTTTGTTAATTTCCCGCTGACTTTTATAACAACAATTGTTATTTTCAAAATTATGAATTTATTTTCGAGAAATGAACAAAATCAAATATAACCTTATTTTTATTCATTTGGACAAAGCGTGATTGTGTCAAGCAGGGATGCGGAGTCCCAAAAAGAATTCCAGATTTGAAAGTCACAAAAACATTAATTTATCCTAGTTTTTGGTATCCAAGAACTCTAAAAATATAAATAAGTTTATGGACTACTAATAGGAAAAAAATTACGACTTTTAGGTTAGAGGAACAATCATTTTTTGAACCAAGAGTCCTTATGCATAATGGCGGCAAGGACTTATGGAATCCAGGACTCCGGGCTTAAAAACAATAAGTTTCAAGTCATTAAATCTCATGAATTTTTTTCATATAGCAGATCATAAGTCAACAAACATGTTTAGAGCTTCTGGACACTACAGACTTGTAAAAAGTAGAGATATAAAGCCGGAGTCCTTTTGGGACTCCGCATCCCTGGTGTCAAATATTAAGAAAAAAAACACTGAAAAAAACTGAAGCAAAGTAAACATTTAATTGCATTATTACTAAATGTTATTATATTGTTTTGAATTAATTGTTCAATTAATTGTGGTAGTTTAAAAAAGTTATTTTTAATTAATAAGAAAAGCAATTAAAAATAATTTTATGAGGTCGAAAATTCTATTAGGTGAATATGTTAAGCATTTTTTATTCATTACAAAGCCTATAATTCTATATCAGCTAAGTTTTCGCTATCACCACTATAATCTGCTAACAAACTTTTTATAGTTTTTTGGTAAATTTTTTCCTGTTTTTAATCATTGTTAATGAAAATGTCAAATAAATGTCAAGATTCGCTGCATCTTGTAGTAGCCCCTACGGCTTAGTGGAATAATAAATGATGTTATAGCATTTCTGGATTTAGTTTTTTTAGTTATTCTATTGAATTTTGTTTAAATAAATTCATATTTTTTGTTTTTTTAATGATAAAAGTGTCATTTAATACACTTGTTACAAGATTAAAAAGCAATCTTTGTTGTGTCGCAATATTTTTAATACTTTTTTCGTGTTTAAGACCTAACACCAAAATAAAATATTTTGGTGTTAGACCCAAAACACCTTGCTTGTAATGTTACGCTATCTGGTTTTGTTTGTCAGTTACTCTACATTTATATATTATGTTTGTTATTTAATGATAAACTCTAGTTATAAAAAAATTAATTGAATTTTAGTAAATTCACCTGAGCTGAAAGAAGTTTCTGTTTCTGATAATGTTCAAAAAAAACCTCCACCTTTAATGCCTGAAAAATACCAGTATGTTAATCGCCCATTTCAATGTGAAATTTGCTTGCGTTGCTATACATCAGAAAAGAAGATGAACGAGCATAAACACAAATTGCATTTAACTAAAGCCTTTTATCAATGTACATATTGCACAAAGGTGTTTGTGACAAATCGTAATTTGCAAAATCATATGAATAGACACACTGGTATTGGACCACATTTGTGCTTGGGATGTTCAAAGCATTATATGACAGAGCAAGCGTTAGAACATCATAAAAGGTGACATAAGTTTTTTAATCTGTCTTAGTTGATAGTTTTTTGCCATTGCAACTTTTACAGTCAATAACTTTTGTCACCTGCAGCCTCTAAAAGCGTTTGAAATACTAACTAAATTTGTGAATTTGTTTAAAAATAATATTCATAATTTTTATTGTTAATTCATATTTGGTGGTCCTCAGATCGTATTGAAAAGTTTTTAGAATCATTCTTTTATATGACTCATTTTTTTCATAAAATATTATGTTATAAGTATTTGGCCTACAAAAATTTTAGACTAATTGAGCAATATTTGCAAGCCAATCCATTATCAACATCACTGTCTGCACATTGCAATCCATTTTCAACATCACTGTCTGCACATTGCAATTTTTATTCAACTTTGATATGATTAGCTTAGTTTACTTTACTTTAAATAATTCACTTGTGTACTGAATTCTAACTTTTAATTTATTTATTTTCAGTTTAATGGTGTTAACTTTTTAATTAATTAACTGTAAATTTGAACTATAAAATGGCTTCATTCAGTTTGTGATCTGACCTACAGAACTGGCTAAATGGAAAGCTAATTTGTCAGGAAGATATTTCATAACTATAATCAAAGCTTCATTAAAACTATCTAGCTAAAGGTACACAAATAATGACATTGAATGTGACTAGAAAAAAGAAGACAAGTTTTAAGATAACCTTTAATTATTATTTGATCGCAACAAAGGATATGATTACAGAAATATACAACAAAGAAGGTTGTATATATATTTGTGTTCTGTCGTGACCTCAGGCGCGGAGTAACTTTGTATGCATTGTTTGTGTTTAGTATCCAGAAACTTTTTATATGTTTTTTACATAATTAGTTTTATTAACTTTAATAATAACTTCATTGTCTTTGTTTACAAATTGAATCGATAAAAAAAAGATTACATTTACATAAAAACACAAAATTACATTTACATAAAAAACACATACTTTTTAAATAAAAAATAAGTATATACTAATAAAATCTATAATTTATAACTTTCAAAATTTTGTCAATTTAAATAATATATATTTAAAACATTTATTTTTGTAAACAAATAATAGATTATAAGATTTACGGCTTTGCAGATGTGGCTTCGAGAATGAGCCATAGAATTGAAAATATATTCTTAAAAAAATTTAAACTAGAAATCTCAAAACATAAAAAATCGTAAATAATACAATTTCTAAAATATTTTAACAGAATATTCTAGAACTTTATTTTGCTTATTCAGGTTATTTTTTGAACCAATAGAATTAGTTTGTTCGTTAATTTGGCGGGTTTTTAGAGTTCGCAAATATTCTTTTTATTCTTCCGCACCAAGATATTTTGAGAACATTCAAGTTTTTTATGTTTCCATGTATGTCCGTAAAACAAATTTTTTTTTTCTTTTGTTCATAAACTTAAATGTTCTCAAAACAGTTAAAAAACCTGGCCAGTTTTTTGCAACTAAATTTTATTTCCGTGGTCAGTATTCAAGAGCGATCACTCTCGCTTCCCGACTAAGCCTGAGCGATCAATTATTTTTTCCAATATTGACTTTGTTTTGAGGCAAAAGTTACTAATGATTGTATTTTATTATACAAAATACTAATATATTTGCGTTTGAAGTCCAACAGTTCGAATCAAAGATTTGTTAAAGAATTTTGCTAAAATAAAAAATAAAGTAAATATCATTTGTAAGTAATTTCAGAATGTAGTAAAAGGTATAAAAATTAAAAAAAGGACCCTTTTAGGACGCCACGTAGTTGAAGCTATCAAAATAATTTAACTATTATTCATTTAATTTTTTTTCAAATTTTTATTAAAAAAGTTTTATTATTTTTATTTAGTTTTTAAAAATGATTTTTTATGTCTTCTTGTTAATGGTTGAAATTTTTACCTTAGATCCTGCAATGGATTAGTAGAAAAAGAATTTCATTGCAAAATATGTGGTAAAGCTTTCTCAACAAAACCTCATCTAACATTTCACATGAAAATTCATTTACCCGATAATCAAAAGCCATTTAAATGTCAATTTTGCCCTCGTACTTTTGCATATAACCATGATTGTATCCACCATATGCGTTTGCATGTTGGGGAAAAACCTTTCAAATGCACTGAGTGCAATGAAGCTTTTCATCGGAAGTCATATTTAACAGAACATATGTTTCTTCATACTGGAATATCCAAGTACAAATGTTCAGATTGTGAGGTATATTTGATGAATTTTTTCTTTCAACTTTTTTATTTATTAACAATATAATATATATATATATATATAATATATATATATATATATATATATATATATATATATATATATATATATATATATATATGTATATATATATATATATATGTATATATATATATGTATATATATATATATATATATATATATATATATATATATATATATATATATATATATATATATATATATATATATATATATACATATACATATATACATATATACATATATATATATACATATACATATATATATATATATATATATATATATATATATATATATATATATATATATATATATATATATATATATATATATATATATATATATATATATATATATATATATATATGTATATATATATATATATATATGTATGTATATATATATATATATATATATATATATATATATATATATATATATATATATATATATATATATATATATTATACAGAGCTCGAAATAGTTATTCAAAGCTTGCCGATCAAATGTAATTTTTTCACATAAACAGGTTATTTTCCCTTCAATTTTTCAAAATTTCCCTAAAAATAGCCGATCATTGATTGTTGATCGGCTGTTATTTTGAGCACTGATATATATATATATATATATATATATATATATATATATATATATATATATATATATATATATATATATATATATATATATATATATATATATATATATATATATATATATATATATATATATATTAGGGCCCTGCGAATCGGCAGTTTTTACTTTGAATTGAATCTTGAATCAAAGCAGGTCTTGATTCGCAATTAGAATCGCATTTTGAATTGACATTTTGAATTGACATTTTTTATTTAATAATACATATTTCAAAATAAATTAAAATAAAAAAATTGTATAATCTCTTTATTGATACTTCTTGCCTTGGTTAACCTTTGTAATGACTGATTAAAAAGGTATTTAAGGATAAGTAACGTTATTTTGATAGCGCCCAAGCGCAGAACATATAAAATACCCACAACAAAAACAAAATAAGTAAGGATTCAATTTTTGAAAATTTTCGAATCAAATCTCAAATCATTTTTTTTTTATTCGATTCGAAATTTCGAAGCTTCACAGGGCCTTATTTTATATATATATATATATATATATATATATATATATATATATATACAGGGCGCGACAAATCGACGAACGTGCGAACGTTTGTTATAAAAAAGACAGAAAAACGAACGTCACGTTTCCTTACTTTTACTTAAGCAAACGTTGGCGTTCGCTTAAATTTTTTAAAACGAACGCAATATCTTCAGCAATTTTTTATTTCTAAATAATTATGCGATTGATAGTTTTTTATTTATTATAAAAAAAAAACATAACTAATATAAAAAAAATAAGTTACTAAAATTTAAAACGCAGTTTCAATGACATTAAAAGAAACCGCGCTAATACTTTCTTCAAAAGCGTTTCTTTTAAGTATGCAACTGTAGAAAAAATTACATTTAGCATGGTTTTTACATGCGTTTACAAAAGAATGGCAAGTTTAACTTAAAATGAATGCATTTGCAATTACTTTAAACGGAACCATGCTAAAACATTCTTTTTCCAAAGGCGTGCTTTTTTTAAATTTTCTTATTATCATTAAATTAATGTTTATTTGCTGTTTTTAAAGTTTAAAAAAAAATTTGCAGAAATATATAAAATTTAATAGATTTTCTAGAACTATTATGTTGATTATAGTTTTCATTTTTTACTGTGCGTTTAACAACAACCAATAATATAAAATTTTTTATATTAAATACTTAATGTTATAAATATAATAATAGCATATCAGGTATTTGATAGTTATTTAATTATAAATTTAATAACTTATTAAATGCTTAATATAATATTATTTTTAAATATTTGAAAAATAAAAATGTCAAAATAACTTTTATTTTATTTTTATATAGTTCCCTTTTATTTAAATTTTATCAAGTTTATATCTTTTTTTTATAATTTAACAAACTAAATTGAGAAAAATTCACTATTTTGTATTAATAGATAACAGTTTACAGTGAAAAGTTTATTGCATATTAGTTATCATTAATTTGCTCACACTTTGCAAATGTTTGAAAAATTGTTTTAAATTAATAAAAATTGAAAAAATTCGATAAGTATCTTTGATATATCTAATTATTATATATCTTATTCACTAGAATAAAATTAATTTGAAAATAAAACTCCCTTATAATTAAATAAAAAAATTATTTGAATAAAAAAAAAAACATTAATGAAGTTAAAATGAAACTGGCTTATTCTGGCCGACACACGGGTTCGAAGTGGAGGTGCGCAACCATCTATTAATGAAAAAAGTCCTCTATATCTTGAATTTCTCTTAAATAAAAAAAAATAAAAATTTTTTTTTTTTTTTTAAAGTGTGTATGTGTGGAGGGGTGTGTGTGTGTGTGTGTGTGTGTGTGTGTGTGTGTGTGTGGATATTTGATATACCTCTTAAATTAGACGTTCGTCAATAAATAAAGAAATGAACGTCAACGTTTATTAAAAAAAAACGATTTTTCGCGCCCTGATATATATATATATATATATATATATATATATATATATATATATATATATATATATATATATATATATATATATATATATATATATATATATAAATGTAGGCAACTGTGAGTTCATGAGATAAAGGACATAAAAAGACTGAATCTGTTTCCTAAAATACTTCACAACTAATAAAGTTTTTAAATTTGAAATTTTTAGGGTATATTAATATTCTTGTTTGGCAAGGTTTAGAATAGCTTACTGTTATAATTTACAGTTTAAGTTATATTTTAAAGCCTAAGTTGCAGTTATAATGTAATTTGTTGGATTACATGTTGAATGTTATTAAATTATTTTTAGTAATTGTTTTAACTTTGATACTAAAAAAAAATGTTAAATATCTCGTCTATGCTGAAAATAAAACATCAAAACACAAGATGTACTTTATCCATAAAGTAGATCACACTAAATTTTATTTTAAAATAGAAGTAGGATATTATTGGTTTCCACACAGAGATTTAAAGTAGTTAAAATTCAAAAACCCATTCTGTTAAATATCTCTGCACAAGAGAACTAATGATCTTATTTCTATTTAAAAGTTAATTATAGCATGACCTACTTTATGGATGACCCTTAATAAAAATCTCAGACAAAAACTTTCTATTTTTTATAAATAACCAAAAATAGCCAAGTAAGAAAAGAAAAAATTCAAAATTCTTATATATCTTTTTTGTTTGTTCATATTAAATTTTTTATTATATTTTTAAATGTTTAAAAAAAAAAAAATTAATTGCAAAGGTGCAAAAGCACTCGTAGCTTGCACAGTTCTACAGTTCTACACTTCACACTTCTACAGTTAAATCTAAAGCATAACTCGAACTTATATGCAAAATGCAATCATTAGACATTACAAACAACCATAACTGCAACAAATGATTCTGCCCTATCAATAACATCTATGTAAGAATAGGGTTTGAAAATCCCATATTTTTGATCTCCCAGATATATATCTAAAAGTTTTATGGAATTTGGTTTACTTTCATAAAAGAAAGGAAGTTTTTGCATTTGTACCAGCGATTTTTAAAGGTGTGCTCCTTTAAACCAATATAACAGGCTTGGTCAGGAAGCTGGAGTGATTGCTTTGGATTACTGACCACGGAAATAATATTTAGTTGCTGGTCAGATTTTTTAGTTGTTTTGAGAACATTTCAAAAAGCAAAAAAAATGTGCAAAAGATTTATTAAACCCATGAGAGACAATTACAAAAAAAACATTAGGAAAATAAAATATCTTTATATATAAATTTTTTATATAAAGTAACATCTTACGATTGTTTAAAAAAGAAACAAATTTCTTTATTAAACAAAGAGTGTAATATAATTTTTATTTATATACTTGTGTCTTATTTCCATTGCTAGATTAAGGAGGGTTGGGGTTAGAAGGGGCTATAACCCTGGACCCCGCAATGTTAGGGCCCCAAAAAAGTCAAGAAGACCTTTTTGTTTAGTCATTTTTATGCTGTGGCACATACAAAGGTATCCAAAATAAAAATAGCCCTTGTTCCCGAAAAGTCTAACAAGATTCTAATAAAACTAACGCAAGTTTAAATTATTTTATAAATATAAAAGTTAATTTTTATTTTATATTTATCTATTTTATGCTTCACGTAGTTTGAAAAGTTTAGTATATTTGAAACAATTCTCCTTAGTAAGATAAACAAATAAAATAATTGAATCATTGAATTTCTATTAAAATTTATAGAAAATATTTTTTAAATTTTAATAGAAATTCAATTTAAAGAAAATATTAATTTAATTAAAAATAAAAAATAAAATTTAAAGAAAATATTAATTTAATTTCTATTAAAAAAATTAAATTAACTAGATATAAATCAACTAAAAAGGTTAAAAATACTTTATGATGAGGAAGCGAAACTGCTTCACAATATCCCTAATATTTAGTGAGTGGGCTTTTTAATTTTAATTAGTATTTAAAGCAGAAAAAAATATGAGTTTTTAAGAATGGCAACTGAACGAAAATAATTAGAAATAGTAAACCAATATCTAGAAACTTTTCTTTATATTCTAATAACTTGCTTTATATATTTGTGTTCTGTTGTGACCTCAGGCACTGTGTTGTTCATCTGCAAGTTACTTAGTATGCATTGTTTGTATTTAGTAACCAGAAACTTATTATATGTTTGTTACATAATTAGTTTGATTAACTTTGATGATTATTAACAACTTCATTGAAAATGCAATTATTTTTGTAAGTCTTTGTTTACAAATTAAATCATAAAAATTGCTTTAAAAGATTACATTACGATAAAAAACAGATATATAAAATTACATTTACATAAAAAATACATATTTTTTAAATAAAAAATAAGAGTATACTAATAAAATCTATAATTTATAATAAACTTTTGAAACTTTTGATCTATAATTTATAATAAAATTTTGACAAATTAAAAAATATATATTATAAAACATTTAATTTTGTAAAAAAATAATAATACTTTAAAAGATTTATGGCTTTGCAGATGTGATTCCGAGAATGAGCCATAGTATTGATAATGTATTCTTAAAACAATTTATGCTAGAAATCTCAAAATGTAACAAATCTTGAATATTACAATTTCTAAAACATTTCAAAAGAATACACTAGAACTTTATTTCGCTTATTCAGCATATTTTTTGATCGCTTTGAGAGTGATCGCTCCCGCTTCTCAACCAAGCCTGATATAATTAAAACCATTATCTTGCAGTGATGTTTTTACATTGCTGGCCTAAATTATATTTTTATTAAAACAAGTACCTTGCAAAGGATATTGTGAAAGTTGCTGGCAGTTATACATTGAACTTTTATGTTGGAAACATTAGATAATATTTTTTTATGGTGTGAATTAATAATATTGGTGATATTAGGAAGACAGCTATAACTGACTTTTAAGTTATTCTTATTAAAGATTTTGCAAAACAATTTCTTATTAAAGATTTTGTTTTTAGAAAATACTATTTGATTAGATTTAAAACATTTTCTGCAATGTTGGTTCTTACATTTTGTGAAAAAGGAAGATTAACCCAAATGTTTCGTATTCTTGAATTTGTTTTTGTAGAGACAAGATTTTTTTGGAAAGTAATCTTTTCATTATACCCACTAGCTGCTGATGCATTATTATAAAATGGTGTTGCTCTATCGAAAACTTCCTTGCTAGATAAAATATTGTTAATACAGTTAGATATCATGTTTTGTATGGATTTAATAACACTAAGGGCGTGGTTAGAATTTATGTGGATGTATAATGGGTGGTCACTTGGTTTTCTGTATGGCTGGAAAGTATTTTTTGATAGATTGACGGTAGCATTGATATATTTTGCATTTTTAAAGTTGGTTTTTATTCTTAGTTTTAGATTGAATTTCTCCTTAAAAAGATTAACAATGTTTTTCTTGGATTCTCTTGGATGGTGGTCCATTAATCCCATTAAAACAGCAAAGGCCATTATCTCTATATAATCCAATGGATTGTATGTACAGTTTTTTTTTGTCTTAAATATTGCGGAACCTTTTTATCACATCATCTATATTAGGCAATTGGTTTATAAGGGTGAAGTTTCTCACTTTATTGTTGATGTTTTCCAGTAAAGTTTTACTAACTTTTCCAAGTTCTGGTTTAGATGAATTAATTAGTTGGCATAAAGTATTTTTAGCAAAACCATCTTAGTGATCTTTTATGTTTATAAACGTGGTATTTTTATGTTTAGTGATCTTTTATGTTTATAAATATGGTATTCGTTGCGAGACATTCCATTCTGTTGCTGATACCTAAGTCTATAACAATTACTTTAGCCACTATATTAATGTTATTGTATTGCGAATTATCAGATTTTTTGTAAGTGCTAGTTTTGCTTTTATTAAAAAGTTTATTTTAAGAAGATTTTTCAAGTTTGTAAATATAATGTGATTTATCCACAAAAAGAAATATCTTTTCTGATAATTTAATTTAACAATGTAATTATTTAGTAAAATCTTGCCCTAACAACCAAAATCAAGATAACTAAACATTTGTTATCTAATGTTTTTAACAAAAATGTTCCAACATTGAACTGCTGGCAATCTTCATAATGTCTTTCGCAAGGTATGTGTCTTAGTGAAAATACAATATACGTCTGCAATGTAAAAACATCACTGCAGGATAAGGGTTTTAATTAAATTGGTTTAGCAGAGCACACCTTGAAAGATTGCTGGTACAAACGTAAAAACTCCCTTTTTTTTTACAAAAATATATATGGGAAATCAAGAATTTTTAAATCCTGGAACTAATATCAAAATGTAGCCACAAAAATAAATTTGTTATCTGCAACTTTAATGATATCTAAGCTAATACTGTGTTGTTTTTTTTGTATATAGTTTCTGTTGTTATGGTTGTTTGTAATGTCTGATGATTGCATAAAGCGTAAATGAGTTGAGTTTTGTTTCAGATTCAGTTGTGGTTTTTATATACACACTTTAAAAATAATGACGTTTTATCTTGAATTTTTGAAGATATGAAAGTATCTCTAAAAAAAAGGTTCAAAATTTACTTATAAAAACTTATTGGATAAGAGTAAGAATAGATTAATTGATGTGATTGACTAGATGGATTTTTTTTCCAATTATCAAAAGAACTTAGTTTAATATTTATGACAGACAAAAAATTTTATAGGTATATTAAGTTATTAACAATTTGATTCTATTAACTATTGATTACATTTATTTTGTTATTTAGAAATACTTTAAAACTCAACAAATGCTTCAAACACATGTAAAAAATGTTCACATTCTTAAAAAAAGTGTTTCTTATGACAATAAGAAAGCAAATAAAGTTAGAGGAAGGTACAGGTAAGTGTTTTGCAAACTATAAATAAAGAAGTTTAAATAAAAGATGCAAAGGTTATCATATGTGCACTATAGAAATAATTTAATTGTTTTTTTGTATTATATCTATATCCTATAAAATATAAGTATAGACAAGAAGTTTAACCTTTTATCCAAACAATTATCTTATTTAAGGTACTACACCTTTTTAATTCATGCATTTTTTTTATAGTGGTGATAGAAGTCCTCAAAACAAGAAAAGGGACATAACACTTGTGATAATAAACTAATAATCAATCACAAAAACTCATTCATTTATCTCATTCAATTTATCTAGAGTCAGGCTTTAAATTTTACATATTAGATGTAGATATCTTGAAGTATTTTATTTAAAAAATTTTAATACCTAATTATGCAAAGTAAAGTGAAATTTAAATCATTTTTAATACACAAATAAAAGTATAATAATTTTAATTCCCTTTTTTATTTTTCACAAAATTAAAAGTATAATAGAAAAAAATTAGTTTTCTATAACTAGAGTTTTTGTATTATTATACTAAAATTCAGTTTATTGTCTGTTGTTTCATTTTTTCTTTGATACAATATTAGATTAATAAAATATTAAATCAACTATGTTAGAAAACAGTTTAGAATTTAAATTAAATTAGATTTTAAAAAAATTTTTGTTGTTATTTTCTTTTTTTTCTTTTCTGCAACATATAGGGTGGAATGCAAGAAGCAAACTTGAGTCAAGTTCGACTTGAACTTTACTTTGTAACCAATAGCGGCAGAGTATTTTTTGAGGGGAAAACCCATACTCTGTCACTATTGGTTGCAATGTAAAGTTCAAGTTGAGCTTAACTCAAGTTCGCTTCTTGCATTTCACCCATAATTATTTGTTTTATTTCTTTATAAGATGTGAAGATTGTAGTCAAGTATTTTGTTTCATGAAAGAATATCATCACCATCTTGCTGTTAACCATGAAGATACATCTCATCTTGAAAATATAAACTATGAGCCGAAAATGGTTTATAAGTGTAAGAAATGTACTAAAACATTTCGGCGTTCTTCATCTTTGAAAAAGCATACAGAAACTCATAAGAGAAATATTTCTTCAAGTATTTCTTTGTGTAAAACAGAGTTAAATGTAATTCAAAAAACAAACCCAATAACTATCAACCATATTTTAGAAATTGGATGTGCTCTTAATGTAAATTCAAATGTTCAAATAGTTCATGATGATTCAAACAAAGATTTAGGCCACAAAGGATGTAAAGTTCTTGCAAGGAATGAAAAACCTGTTGGTTTACATGAAGAAGTTCTTCATTGTTTTTCTGAAGATGAAGTTACAAAAAATATAACTGAGGATTTTTCTAAAATAAACGCTGATATTGTTACATAGTTTTTAAAAAAATTTTATTTATGAAAAAGTTAAATATTTTTTTAATTTAAAGTTGCTATAAATCAAAATTGAGCCTTAGAGTATAAATCTGGAATTAAAAGTAGTCTCCTAATTTTTTACCAGACCATATAAAATAAATTTTTTATATGGAATCTGGAGTTCCAGAGTCTAAAAAATTTTCTTTTATTTCTGTACTATATACACAATAATATACACAATTAAAAAAAATCATTTGGTGTGTGTATATAGCACATATTGATATTGTTATATGCTGAGTTTCATAGTTTTTACTTGAAGTTTTACAAGCATTTTTATGTTTTTTTTTGTCATGACGGTTGTAACGAAAAATCTAATATTAGGAAACAAATAAAACAACCCAATCAATTATTTAAGAAAAAAAGTATAAATTATTATTTAAAACCATGTAAAATGTATTAAAAATGTACTATAACATTATCAAAGTTCTTAATTATGGTTTTATGATACAAAAAAACACTACACAACAGGACTGTAAATAAATGCTGAAACATGTTTTTATGACCCTTACACTTTTAAAATCATGTTATGGTATGATAAAATAATTTATTTAATAACTTTTTTTTGCTAAAACATATTTTTAAATTGTTGTAAAAAAAGAGTTATGGAGTTTAGTATGTGTTTTCATAATTTATTTGCTTCTTTTTTTTTTTTTTTTTTTTTTATCTCTTTCTCACAGAATTGCCCATGTTTGTGTATATATAACTATATATTTAATATATAACTATATATTTGATTGATAAAAATATATATTTGATTGATAGTATTATTCACAGTTAAAAATGTGTTAATTACCCAAAATTATATATATCAGCCCTCGGAATTAGGGTTGGTATTTGGCAATGCCAACCTAACTGCCGAACTTAAAGTGTTTGCGGTTGGCAAAAAATAGCCGATCTTGTTTCTATTTTCTATGGTAACTTCTTTGTTTCTTTTTTTTTTTTTTTTTTTTTTTTTTTTTTTTTTTTTTTTTTTTTTTTTTTTTGCCAACAGTTTGAGGTCAAATGAGGTCAGAATTTGAAAAAACAAGGTCAGCAATTTATTGCTAACCTCATTTTTCCTAATTCTTAGGGTTATATATATATATATATATATATATATATTCATATATATATATATATATATATATATATATATATATATATATATGAATATATATATATATCTATATCTATATCTATATATATATATATATATATATATATATATATATATATATATATATATCAGGCCTTGCGATGAATAAGAACTGCGCGACGCATAAGCACGACGTGATTTTTGACATCATTAAATTCTTTTTATTTGCTTTTCATATTTATCGACGTTAACTGCACCAATTTACTTAATTACCGCAAAACTACTTTAAATCGTTTATGTAGAAATGTTATTATTTAAAAATGTTTTGGAATGTTTCTTTTTTTTAAATGTAAAAACATTTGTTTATTTTCTCGACGTTTGTCACGTTTTGTCAATACTAAACAAATAAAAAACATAACTAAAATTTCAAAAAGATTGTAAAATATGCTAATATTTGATTTTTTTTTTTCTTAAATATGTAATTTAAAGTTTTTCAAATAATTATTTTTTCTTTTTAAAAAGTCAGCAAGTAATAAACTAGAAATTTTAATATTGTACGATTAAAAACTGTGCAATAGCTAATATTTTTACAAGCGATTTTATATAATATTTATTTATTTTTATTTATTTTCATAAAGCGGTTGATAAGCACTATCACTCGTATTAATAAAAAACTTAAACGAACGTTTTAAATAGATTTTTAATGTTAACAAGGAATTTTATTTCAAGTAATATAAAATAAAATGTTAGAATAAAAATCTTATAGGTATAAAAGAAATATTTCAGCGAAAAAATTATTCTTAAAAATTATTATTAAAAATTATTCGAAAAACTATTGACGTTTTATTTTTCAGCAGCTGTTCTTGAGCACGCTTCGTTGAGTTTCGGTAACTTTTAACATAAAAGCGATCGTTATTATTTAAGTAATTTTTTTGAGTTACTTTTTACAAAAATTTTAATAACTGTACTTTTTTATTGAATCAAGTAGAATACGTTTTAATATTAATCCTTTTTTTTTTTATTTGCGCTCACCAATTTTTAAAATGTTTTCTCGAAATTACTCTTAAATACGTCTAACAGTTAATAAATATTTTTAAATCTTTTTTTTTTAAACCTAACAAACCCCCGTAAAATAATTATTTAAGTTTAAAATCTAAAACTAAAAGAAAGTATTTTTGTTCAATTTTATCGACAACTTTGCTATTGCTGAATAATTTTATTAAAATGTTAGCTTAAAAGATTGAAACTTTTTTTTTAATCTGAATTTTTTCTACTTGTAAATAATGAGCAAATTTAATTTTTTTAAATTCAAACTTTTATTTCAACTGCGTGCGGTTTTTAAAATGTTAAAATAATTGTAAATTACCTCATTAAAATTCCGCTCAAAAATATCTTTAAATATACTCAAACAAAAAATTTTTTGCTCGACGCAAATAGCCCTAGCTACACGCAAAATCGCTCTTGGACGACGTAAAATTCACATCGCCCGACGCTTTATCGCAAGGCCTGATATATATATATATATATATATATATATATATATATATATATATATTATATATATATATATATATATATATATATATATATATATATATATATATATATATATATATATATGAATATATATATATGAATATATATATATATATATATATATATATATATATATATATATATATATATATATATATATATATATATATATATATATGAGTATAAATATATGAGTATATATATATATATATATATATATATATATATATATATATATATATATATATATATATATATATATATATATATATATATATATATATATATATATATATATATATATATATATATATATATATATATATGAATATATATATATGATATATATATATATATATATATATATATATATATATATATATATATATATATATATATATATATATATATATATATATATATATATATATAGTCCTCGGCGGTAAGCGAGGCCTGTATATCTTGCCCACACTCCCCTAAAACAGTTAACAGGAGCAATTTACGGCTCTCGCAAAAGTATAATTTTTCTCACAAAAGTATAATAATTGTAACTAAAATAAAAAACACAATGTCATTTAAAAAATAATTAATTGCATAATATACTGCAATGCTTTTTAAATAGCACGGTTGCTGCAAAAAGTTAAAATTTAAAAAAAGCGCCGATTTAAATGAGGAGCAGCTCATACAGTTCTCCAAGTTCGTTTTAGGAGAGCTTTTTGCTCTCGTGCTCATTTATTCCGGCCAAGGACTATATATATAATATATATATATATATAATATATATATATATATATATATATATATATATATATATATATATATATATATATATATATATATATATATATATATATATATATATATATATATATATATATATATATTTATATATATATATATATATATATATATATATATATATATATATATATATATATATATATATATATATATATATATATATATATATATATATATATATATATATATATATGTATAAATGTATTTGTGAATGTGTATATTTGTGTATATGCGTATATATATATTTGATTAATAGAATTAAAATTAAAAATGGAGTATAATATGCCAATTCATAATAATTATGAAGATATGAGAAATAAGCCAAGGAACCATGGGTTTCCTTATGAAATGGACAATAATGGGAGACGATGTTCTCCTATGCGCAGGCGTAGCAGATCTCCTAGGCAGCCTCGTTCTCCACGAGACCTTCAAAGACGTGTTTTTGATGATTTTGTTGTTACAAGAGAATTTGAAAGAGATTTTCCAAGGCCTAGTAGAGGAGGATGGAACGATCGTGATAGAAATGATCGTAGACCGAATCCAAGAGATTTTCGAGATGATAGAAGAAGAGATGATTCAAGAAATAGAACTGATCCAAGAGAGCATAGATTTGTAATTTTTTAAAATAAATATATATATATCATTATATGTGTGGTTTCGTATATGTAGATTATATGTTTTAAAACAATTTTTCATTATTTGTTGTAGAATGATAGATTTGATGATTACTACATGGAAAGACCTAGACAGCGATCACGAGAAAATGAGAGACGAGATAATAATGGTGCTAGTGAGCCACTTCTGCCTCCATCATCTACTATTATATTGCAGAATATTGGTTTGGATATGACGGAACGCAAGGTATTTTTAATTTCTTTTAAAAAATTATTTTTTCAATAAACATGATCTTTGAAATATACTAATTATTTTGAAAATTTTTTTTCCTATGAATAAAATTATTGTCATTAAAATATTGGAGTTAATATACATAGTGTGTTGTGTTTTTTCTCATTTGCATTATAATCCTTTGAATTACACAACAAGATTTGATTTTATAGTTTTTAAAGAAATTGTTTTTCTTAAAAAATCGTACTTAAATTTATAGTTAATAAAAAAACTTAATAAATTTAAAATGAATAAAGCACTTTTATTTTGTTGCTATCTTTGTTTTATTTTGTTGCTATCTTTGTTTTATTTTGCTGCTATCTTTGTTTTATTTTGTTGCTTTCTTTGTTTTATTTTGTTGCTATCTTTGTTTTATTTTGTTGCTATCTTTGTTTTATTTTGTTGCTATCTTTGCTTTATTTTGTTGCTATCTTTGTTTTATTTTGTTGCTATCTTTGCTATATTTTTACGAAAAGTTGCTTAGTCCCAGAATTCAAAGTATATTTGTGGCTTATATACTGAAAAATCTAGAACTTTTGAGTTCTACCTGCCAATAGTTTTAAACTTGGAGTATTTGGGAGCCATAAATCTGGATTCAAAAATGTTAGACTCTAAGGAATCTAAGTAAATATCTAGTAAATAGAAATATTTAATACAATATATTTTTATAATGGTATTAAAATTTAAAATTAGTATAATAAATGCAGAATATATAAAAATTAGATTGAAGATCGAGTTAAAGCAGATGGTTTTACATGTCGTCATATAGCTGTAATCAGAGATCGCGATACTGGAGATAATCGTGGATATGCTTTTGTTGAATTTCACTCTATTGAAAATGCTGAAAAATGGTTAAAATTTAATAAAGTAAGTGAAACCATTTCAGTATTTTTTTATTTTAGTTTTTTCATTCAAAAGTTGCAAATTGTTGTAATTTAAAAAAAAAAAATTTTTTTTTTTTTAAACAAAATTCCAACAAAGCAGGCAATCATTAAAGTTATAAGTTTCTACAGCAAGTCACAACTTAAATATGTGCAACAATAGGGTGATTTAGATGAAGAAAGAGCAGAATAATAGTTTGATCAGAACCAAAATAATAATTTGATCAGAGCCACCTAAAAATATTTGGGAAGACTTTATACCAAGTTATTTAGTATGATGACATCACTAAAACAAATTTAATATTGTACGATATTTAATATAATGTAATATTATTAAACAAAAAGTAATAAATATTAAATTACTATAGTATTAAATGTTAAATTATTAAAACATATTAAATAATATAATAATAAATATGTATATAATATAATAATAAATATGTATATAATATAATAATAAATATGTATATAATATAATAATAACGAATTTTAAATCAATATTAAAAAAATGTAAAATAGTATTAAAAAAAAGTGATATTAAATTAAAATTTGATTAAACTTAAAGAAGTATTTATAATTGAAATATTATTATTTTTTGATTTTTTATATATATTTAAAACATAAAAGCACAACCCTCGGAATTAGATCCAACCCTCGAAATTAGGGTCAGCATTCAGCAATGCCGACCTAACTGCGATCATAAAGTGTTTGAGGTCGGCAAACATTACCGACCTCATTTCTTTGTTATATGGTGAGATCTTGGTATCAATTTTTTTTTGCCGACCTGATGCTGACCTCTAAAAGATTGAGGTCGACAAATTATTGACAGCCTTGTTTTTCCTAGTTCCGAGGGTTGTAGATCTGACTTTATACTGATTTAGGGAGCTGTTAGGGTTTCAGTACATAAATTGACTGATTCAGATTGAACATGCAAGGGAGTTGCTGTTACATTAAATATGGGTTTGGGTTGGGGCCTCAATAATTTTTTTTTTTTTGCCTATTCTTTATTGTGTTTATGCTTGTTTGGTTGGTTTTTTCTTTTTCTGAAAAAATCATATAGAAAAAGCTGGCATTTTGGCATTGAAAATAAGTATCTATATATACTACAGTAGATATATAGTGAGAGAGAGTTATTATTTTTTATGCTGCTTTTCTTATCTTGTAAGTTATACGTTATAACTTTGATGCCCTGGTATTTGTTAAACAATTTTGATTTTTGATTTTTTTCATGATTGTTTGTTTGCACTTAACAAAAGCTACACTTCAGTTAAAAGACAATAATAGCAATCCAACTTCAATAATGTTGTTTTTCACCATACAGTTGGATTACAATACATATTTATCTTCCAAATATAGAAAATATGTTGTTTTTATGTTACTGATGGGAGGCTAATGCTTGTGTTTTTTTATGTATTCTCTCTAAATAATAACTTTATAAAATGGCTATTTTCTCAAAAATCTTTTAATAATAAAGAGTCATGGACTTTAATTAAAATATTTTATATTATGAAATTAAAAATTGGCATTATAGAAATCCTTCCAAAGGAGTTCCAGGAATAGTGTCAAAAAATAAACTAAATATATTAAAAGACCATTAATGTTGCCAAAATAATGAGTTGCAATAATGTGCTGCAAATAGTGAAAAAGGAATATCATAAAAAATAAAAAAGGAATGTTTACAATTTATTGTTTTTTTTTTTATCTGTAATATTGTTAAAAAATAAAAACCAGAATAATGTCATAATTATATTTCTTTTCAAAGTACAATTTAATACGTTATAGCTGGTACTTGTAAATATAAAAAGTTATATGATTTACAAAAACGAGTTTTTTAATTGATAGGCTTCCTGTCCATACTAAAATCCTCAGTTGATATAGCAGCACTCCTTACATGCTCTACCTATTTAAGTTAGTAATTGTATGCATGGTGCGAATTAACTAAAATTTACCAGATGGCGAAATTTTTTGCAGAAAAAACAACAAATTTCATGCAACATAAATAATGAAATTAGGCTCTCATAACTATTACGTTTTGAATATTATTTGAAACAGATTTTTAACAAATAATCAATTTCAAAAGTGTATACAAATAAACAAACTTACACAAGCAATTCTTGGTGGTACTTGTGGTTTAAAAATACATTCGTTAATTTTATAATAAGCTTTGCCTGACCTGACAGACAAATAACCGAAAGTAATGATTTGTCTGACCAGGTTGTTTTTTGTCAAAATGGTTTTAAAACATGAAACCTTTTTTCATACAAACTTTTACCCAGGAAATTTAAAAATTAGTAATCATGATTGCTTCAAATAACATACTTTCAAGCCTGCTAAGTGGCTTTTACCCATTGCAATTTGTAATTACTTAATTCATCCCTTGGTATGTATACACCCTGCATGTTCTGGTTTGTTAGATCACATTAGATTCATTTGCATCACTAATCTTTTTTTTATTCTAACACTCTTCATAGTATATCTATAATATCTGGTATAACTATAATATCTGTAATCCTGATGTGTGTGTGTGTATATATATATATATATAATATATATATATATATATATATATATATAAGTTTTTAGTTATTTTGAAGAATAAAGTTTCAAGTTTCAGAGTTTAACAATCGAAACTTGGGAATCAATATAATTACTAGCATGCTGTCTACTGGAAAATAAAACAAGGCCATTAAGGCCACTACATTCCAAAAAAGTGGTTTATTCATCATTAGCAGAATCTTAGACTCAGCTACAATAAGCTTAAAATTTCAATGGGTTTCTAATAAAAATAAAGCTTGTTAATCAAACATTGTTGCAAAAAAGTATGAGGACATTCATTGCAGTGAGAAAGCTCATTATATTGTTCATAGAGTAACATTAATAGTGAAATAGATAAAAATAATTTGTAGAGATAAATTTTCATGCTATAAACTACAAGGGAAAATTACATTTCAAAAGATTTACAACAGAGAAGTTTGTGAAACAACCATCAATATGGCATATGTATGCTAAAAGCAAGCAATTCATATTTCAACAAGATAAAAGATTTTTTTATTAAGAAAAAACCAAACCTATTTGTTTAAATTTTCATACTCTTTAAACTTGTGAATAACTATTATGAATAACTGTTCTTAATTTTATTAAAAATTTTGTTTATTATTAAAATTTAACCAAATTTTAACCAAATAAATTTAGATGTTAATATTTTAAATTAATCCTGCAAATAATTGTTAATTCAAATATATCTACATGACTATTAATTTTTGTGTTTTAAGCGTGTGCTTTTCATTGATGATCGTCAAATTCATATGAATTTTTCGAAGTCTCGTAAAAATGATACTCCAATTTATGCAGACTGGAATTGTGTTGAGGTTTTTTTTTTTTTTTTAATATCTTTAAGTTATAGTTTATAATCTTTTTATGTTTATATATATATATATATATATATATATATATATATATATATATATATATATATATATATATATATATATATATATATATATATATATATATATATATATAAATTGTAAAGACTTTTTTATTCATATATCTTATATAGATTATATAATACACTTAAAAGGCAACTCTATTAACAAATATATTTTCTTTACAATCTTTGCGATATTTTATCTTGTATTAATTTTAATATTGTTTTTTGCTTTGTTTAGTAACATAATTATTTTTCTTTTTTTTTCTTTTTAGTGTAAGGCTCTTAACTTTGGCAGTCGTAAACAGGTAGAAAAAAATCCATCCTGTTTTCGTTGCGGCATTCCACAAAAAGGTCTCACCATTATTTTTTTGTATAAAAGAATCAAAGTTTAGAACAGGGCTGTGGAGTCAGAGTCACAACATTTCAACAGAGTTGGAGTCGCTAAATCACAACTCCAACTTTAATAGTAAAACTTCTCCGTATTGCACATGCATGTACAAAATTTCAACCTTCAAAGAATTTTTCATATATTTTTGGCAAAAAATTTTTTTTAATTATCATGTGATATTTTTTAAAGAATTCAAAGAATTTTTCAAAAGTTTTGCTTTAGAGTTAGAGTGGTACTCTAAAAATTTCAACAATTAGAGTCGGAGTTGGTTTTTTTTTACAACTCCACATCCCTGGTTTAAGATTTATTTATTATTTTTAAATTTTTTTAAATTATATATATATATATATATATATATATATATATATATATATATATATATATATATATATATATATCAGGCCTTGCAATAAAGCGTCGGGCGATGTGAATTTTATGTCGTCCAAGAGCGATTTTGCGTGTAGCTAAGGCTATTTGCGTGGAGCAAAAAATTTTTTGTTTGAGTATATTTAAAGATATTTTTGAGTGGAATTTTAATGAAGTAATTTATGATTATTTTAACATTTAATAAAGTATTTTAAAAACCGCACGCAGTTGATATAAAAGTTTGAATTACAAAAAAAAAAAAAAAATATGCTCATATATCAATATATAAAAGTAGAAAAAATTCAGATTAAATTTTTTTAAGCTAGCATTTTAATAAAATTAATCAGCAATAGCAAAGTTGTCGATAAAATTGAACAAAAATATTTTCTTTTAATTTTAGATTTTTAACTTAAATAATTATTTTACGGAAGTTTGTTAGGTTTTAAAATTATTCCATAGATTCAAAAATATTTATTAACTGTTAGACAAATTTAAAGTATTTAAGAGTAATTTCGAGGAAATATTTTCAAAATTGGTAAGCGCAAATTTAAAAAAAAAAAAAGGATTAATATTAAAACGTATTCTACTTGATTCAATAAAAAAGTACAGTTATTAAAAGTTTTGTAAAAAGTAACTCGAAAAAAATTACTTAAATAATAACAATCGCTTTTTTGTTAAAAGTTACCGAAACTCAATGAAGTGTGCTCAAGAACAGCTGCTGAAAAATAGAACATCAATAGTTTTTCGAATAATTTTTAATAATGATTTTTAAGAATAATTTTTTTGCTGAAATATTTCTTTTATACCTAAAAGATTTTTATTCTAACATTTTATTTTATTTTACCAAAAATAAAATATCTTGTAAACAATAAAAATCTATTCAAAACATTCGTTAAAGTTTTTTAATAATACGAGTGATTGTGCTTATCAACCGCTTTATGAAAGTAAATAAATAAAAAAACATTATATAAAATCGCTAGTAAAAATATTAGCTATTGCACAGTTTTTAATCATACAATATTAAAATTTCCAGTTTATTACTCTCTGACTTTTTAAAAAGAAAAAATAATTATTTGAAAAATTAATTATTTGAAATAATTAATTGAAATAATTAATTATTTGAAATAATTAAAAAATAATTATTTTTAAAAAGAAAAAATAATTATTTGTTTTTTATTCGTTTAGTATAGACAAAACGTGTCAAACGTCAAGAAAATAAACAAATGTTTTTACATTTTAAAAAACAAAACATTCCAAAATATTTTTAAATAATAACATTTCTACATTAATGATTTAAAGTAGTTTTGCGGTAATTAAGTAAATTGGTGCAGTTAATGTCGATAAATATAACAAGCAAATAAAAAGAATTTAATGACGTCAAAAATCACGTCGTGCTTATGCGTCGCGCAGTTTTTATTTATCACAAGGCCTGATATATATATTTATATATATATATATATACATATATATATATATATATATATATATATATATATATATATATATATATATATATATATATATATATATATTAGATGAATTTATCATCTAATAAATTGTCATTAGATGAATTTATGTAAATAAAAAGTTTTAAAAAAACATGGTTACAATATATTTGGGGTTAGACAGTTAACAAAATTTTTTTTTAGGTATTTTTGTGTTTAAGGTGAAAAAAAAAATATTAAAATTTTTAGCTTGAAAACTTTTACTTAATGCAGAAAAAATAAATAAACTGCTATAGTTTTAGTTTTGTTTACGTTTACGTATATTTAATGACGTATTTCATTATAATTCTACAAAAAAATGGCGTCTTTAAAACGCTTTATTTTTGTTGATTTTTCAAACTTATTTTTCAAATAAGATAGAAATAAATTTTTTTATTTTTGAGTTAACTCTTATTTTCTTATAAACTATCTACTCGAGCTTGAAGCAACTTAATACCAAAAATTGCTGGTACCTTATAAATATATATGTATGTACATACATACATACATACATACATACATACATACATACATACATACATACATACATACATACATATATACATACATACGGGCAGGATTAAAAAGTCTTTTTTTCAAAAGGAATGACCTTTATAAGCCAAATTAGAAATTCAAAAAAAACCTGTTTAGAAGGGGGCAATAATACGATAAGCGGTAACGATAATTTTCATTTACCTAACTTGCTACCTATAAAGACCTATTTATTATTTACATTTCATCAATAAAGACTCATCAGAAATCTGTTTAATGAAAAGTGTTTAATGAAAAAAGAATTTGTGAAGTGATTTTCTACTACTTTATAATTGCTCTGTTTTTTTAAGTTTAAATATATATTACATTTTAAATATATATACAGTATCGGACAAAACAAGTGCAACCAAATAATGCTAATTTAGTTTCTTTATATTAAAATGCTGCATTTTCTCAATTTAGATAAATAACTATGTAAATGTTTAGAGACAACGTTCTTCAAGTTTTATTCATCACAAAGTTCATTATTTGTACATGAAAATTAATAAATTAATCAAAAGTATTTAAAAAAATTGATTTCCTTCTGGACAAAACAAGTGCAACTCCACAAAATGTTGACCAAGCTGTATTTTGCTATCAATATTTTGTGGCAAATCCTTTGTTGTCGATCACAGCCTTGCATTTTCAAGGCATAGATTTGATCAGGATTTTTTGGATTTGTTCAAACAGTTGATCCTTATTACTAACACCTTCACAATTAATTCTGCAGTTGACGGTCTCCCTCAGGTTCTCGATAGGGTTGAGATCCGGAGATTGAGGCGGCCAATCCATCACCGATAGGTAGTTGTCTTAAAACTACTGCTTGACTACTTTTGCAGTGTGTTTCGGATCGTTGTCTTGCTGAAAAACCCATTTTATTAGCATATTCCATTCAGCATGAGGTAACATAACATTTTTCAAGATATTTTTATACATGAAACGGTCTATTATTACATCGATTCGATGTATTGGACCTAGACCGTTAGCAGAAAAAAAAACCCAAACCATTACATTGCCTAACCATGCTTCATGGACTATTACCAGTAACGTTAATCAAGGCGTTTTCCGGCCAGTCGACGTACATGGCAAATGCCATCGCTCCCAATGATGTTGAACTTCAATTCATCACTGAACAGGACAGTTCGCCATTTCTGCACGTTCTAGTCAATATGAGATGTGCAAACAGGAGTCTTTTCTTCTGGTTCTTTAGTGAAATTAGCGGTTTCTTTGCAGGGCGTTGAGAAAATGATGATATCCAGGGATCCTTCTTGACGGATCTGATGATCATAGAACCCTCTCTAGAAGTAGTGGAATGCGGTTATCCACCTTTGTTATCTGCTGCCAAGTTCCCCATAGAACGATATTTGGAACATAGTCTTGATACAATTCATTTCTTCACGTGATACTTATCACAAATACTTTTTTGTGACATTCCACTTACGTGGAATGTCACAAAAAAGACATTCCACGTAAGTAGAATGTCACAAAAAAATCGCCAATAATTTTCTTTCTTAGTTTCAATCCAAGACTGTCGGGAGCCATTTTTGCACTTAAAGTCATAAAGATAATAAAAATAAATAATCACGCTTCTCAAGACTTACGGTGTTACATTTACCTTGTGATGATACAATAATGCTCTGTAGAACACAATGTCTTGGTTGGATGTGGACTGTATTGATGTAATGAAACACTTGTTGTATTTCACTTCTTGTATTGATGTTCTTCGATAAAACATTTTGATAAAACTCACTACGATAAACTGTCTTGATAATACTGACTGATTGACTTCCATATACTGACTGAATTACATGTCGGTTTACATGTCTCTTATATAGTAAAATGAACCTGTGTGAACCTGTTCTGGAAGATTCTAGATGCTTCTATTCAATGCTTCTATTCAATGCTTCTGGATGCGTCTGGATGCTTCTGAATGTTTCTGGATACTTCTGGATGCATTTAAAAATAAAAACATTCTGAATGTTTTTATTTTTTAAAAATAAAAACATTCTGAATGTTTTTATTTTTTAAAAATAAAAACATTCTGAATGTTTTTATTTTTATATTTTTAACTGTAAAACATGCGCGGAATGTTGCTACATTGACTATCTTATAGCCTGACTTGCAACAGAGTGCTGCTACATCGACTGACAAATAGCCTGACTCGCAAGGAAGTGTTGCTACATCGACTGAGGGTTTAGTTTGGGTTTTTGTTTTTATTAAATTATTTGAGTCTATCAAATAATTTAATAAAAAAAAGTTTTTCTAGTCTTTAAAATAAAAAAAACTTCATTTATGATTATACATTTTATGGTAAAAACTTAAAGACGACCATGCAAAAGTGTGTGTATATATATATATATATATATATATATATATATATATATATATATATATATATATATATATATATATATATATATATTATATATATATATATATATATTTAGATAATATGTAGATAGATAATATGTAGATAGATACTAAAGGCATGAGGAAAAGAAATATAACTTAAATTAAAAAAAGTATATTGATTTAGTGTATTTATTACATAGATACATTTGGTGTATTTAGTCTTTATTTATTTATAACAACTCGCTATATTAAAAGTTTATAATGAATAAACATTTATTATACATCACTAAATTTAACTAAAGTTTAGTAAGAAAGTAAGAATTTAACGTATATTTTTTAAAAACTACTACAGGGTTTTCTATTTAAAATTTATGAAATTGATATATGAGAAGAAATATTTTATTATTCCTTTGACAGAATTAAAGCAAATGATACCTGTAATAACATGATAAAAATGAATATTTTTTTATATGTAACAAAAAAAATTTTAATTTTAGATTCATTTGATGATAATGAAATACGTAACAGAGATTCTAAAGAAGACATATCAAAACTTGAGCCATGCAATGGTTTGAATAATTTATTTTATAATTTTTTTGAAAAGAAATCAGTGTTAACAAGTTTTATTATTTGTTTTCATCTCTAAACTTTTATTATTTTGTCTTTTTTTACTTGTTAATTCAGTTCTAATGCTGCGTGGAATGGACTTCTCGACAACAGAAGAAACTGTCAGTTTTATATCTCTTTTAATTTGATATTATTTTATTTTATATTTGTTTATAATGTAGTTATAAAACTCATGAAAGTATATACAACTATGTTGTATTTCAGATAAGAATGTGTATTTCTCAATTGACTTCTTTCCCAATTTATGATGTTCGCCTTATTAAAGACAAGGTTACAGATATGTCAAGAGGGTTTGCTTTTGTTGAAATGGGCAATACGCACGTAAGTTTGTAGAAACATAAAAGAAGTCTATTTTTGGTGAAAGACTTCAAGTTATGTTATATTATAATTAAAGTAGTGTTCCATTAACTTATTTTCAAGATACTTTTACTAAATTTAAATTAGCTTAGAATTTAATTTAAAATTTTTTTATATATGTGTGTGTTTTTTTTATTTATACACTCATAGGAGAATTGTGTTGAATTTATACACACGCAAGAGAAGTGCTGAAAATAAGAATTATATTTTTAGTTTATCAGTTTTATTTAGTTTTTTTACTAAAAACTAAAAAACAAAATAAGATATCAAAAATAATAGTTTGATAACATTAAAGATCCATCAAAGGTCAAAGGTCTTGTGACTCATGAAATTATTTTTAAATGTAAAATTTATTGTTATAATATAGTATAGAACACATAGTGAGAGAAATAACAGACATTTTGTTAATTAAATTACTTTCGATATATTTTTTTAAATATAAAAAATGAGTAAAAATTTACTGTAATTTGGACTTCATTTTAATCTGCTCTATAATTTTTTACATATTTGAAGGATGCACAAGCATTATTAGACATAATTGAACGTTCCAATCCACCACTTGAAATTGAAAACAGACGTGTTACAGCTGGATTTGCTCGTCATGGTTATAATGCTCCTCTCGCAAGTAAAGCAAACAGCAGGTTATTATTTTTTATTTATATATTAAAAATAGTGTAAAGAGTTTTTATGTGCCCAAAAATGTGAGTGCATGTATATATTTATGTATATACATATACATATATATATATATATATATATATATATATATATATATATATATATATATATATATATATATATATATATATATATATATATATACATACATACATACATTACATACATACATTACATACATACATACATACATACATTACATACATACATTACATACATACATTACATACATTCATACATAATCATGATAATGATAAGCAGCAATCAAAATAAAGATTAAATAAAAGCTTCAAATTTCAAAATAAATAAGAATTGAATTCTTTCTTGAAAAAGGTATCAACCTTTTAGGTCCTTGTTAGTAGCAATTTGCTATAGCAGCATTTTGGTGAGTATTGATGACAAGTATATCGATTCAGTTTTTAAGTTTATCGACAAGTTATTTGATTTGGTTTTTAAGTTTATTGATGAGTTTATTGATTGGTTTTTTAAGTTCAAGAGTCGATTGCTGTTTGTGGGAGTAAATCCCACCAATTGACTAATCTGTTAAACAAGAAGTCAAGTCTAATAACACACATGTTGAGAATAGAGGCCTTAAAAAGTTCCCTGAACTTGTTAAGAGTGTTCAAAAGAGACAGAGAGTGAGAGAGATTCTTTTATATAAAGTTTTAAAGTCTATAATACATTTATTTCAAATATATATTTTAACTTTAAATTTTAAATATATTTATATATAAACAATTGTTTTTTAATCAATTTGAACATATTTGATTTAAACATGAAATGTATAATAAAATAATAATAGGAGATAATGAGTTTAGGACTATGATGTACCTTTTTTAACATTTGTTTGATTTTAACACAAATGTAAATACATCCTTCAAATGTCAGACTTTTAAATTTTTCAACCTCCACAGTAAATGATTCTCCAGTAAGCTGTTCAACAACATCAGAAGAAATATTCACATAGAATTCTGGTTTGAAAGAAAGTGGTTTTTAGATTCACAAGATAATTGTGAACCCTCTCAAAATGAAAAAATTGAAAGAATGTACAACAGAACCAGAAACTTTTAAATATTATAAATAAAATCATAATCTTTAAAACTTAAAAACGGTATTAAAATAAAAACACAGAATTAAAGTTATGAGACAGACAGGAATATGGATTATGAAGATGATATCTATAAGGTATGAAAAAAACAAAAAACAAAAAATCAACATTTTGGTATAGCAAGATTATTTCTTTTATGTTAAGTTATGAAAATCTTAACACCAATTGACTACTTAGGTGTCAGAATAACTTGAAATTTATTTATGAGTTGTGTGAAAGTTTGTGTTACTTTAAGAAACAAGTTACTGAAAATAAGTTTTATAATCTTCTACCACATTGCACAGTGCAAGATGGAAGTCTAGAGCATTATATAAAGCATGACTTTCCAATATAAAGGTGTGAACATAAAACCACATCATGATACCAACATGGATGACTGAACATGAAACTGCGGCAACTTTTATTGCAAATTTATTACAAAAACTTTGGTTCAGCACACAAATATTTGAAAATAAATCATATGACTAGACGCTAGATGCATTTAATTAAATCAAGTAGGAAGTTGCTCTAAAGTGCTTCACAAACCACTAAAGCAAAGATGATAGTGCTAAAAACATTTTTAAAACTAACATGTTAACCTGGTTTTAAACATATAAAAGAACTTTTTTTAAATTAAAAAAAAAGTTAGAAACATTAACAAGTAACTTAGTAACAGCTAGTCAATAATCCATCATCAGCTACTTTTAGAAAAAATGATAATTTGATAAAATCACTTTAGTCAAGAGTTGTAATTCAAATGTTTATATTAATTTATAAAATTAGCGCCAAAAATATATTTAATAATTGAAAGTATCAAATGTTTTTAATTGGTAGGATAGTTTTGAGACAAATTTTTTTTTGACCAATAGTTTTTGAGACCAAAATCTTTAGTATGTAATAAAAATGGAAATTAACACTTTCTTGACAGTTAAAATAATACAAATTATTTACAAATTATGTGTTACCATTGTTTTTAAGCCATAAAAATTTCAGCAAAATAAAATAGTTTTCTATAATATATTATTCATATATATATATATATATATATATATATATATATATATATATATATATATATATATATATATATATATATATATATATAAATATATATATATATATATATATATATATATATATATATATATATTTTATATACAATTTATTGTTTGCTAAATATGCTAAATGCTGAGTTAGTATGTATATAAAAAAGTTCAAATTTATCACTAATAAATTGTAATAAAACCAATTAAACTAGCCCTTTTTTGTTTAATTGGCCATTTGGCATTATCTTTAATTATCTTAAAATTAATTCAATTTTTTTTATACTGAGCTTATATTAGCATGTTTTTTTTTTTTTATACTATTATATTAGCATTAGATGCTTTTGGTTTGAGAATTTTGTTTTTAAAGAAATTTTTTTTATAGTTTTTTTTTTTTTTTTTTCTTTTTTTAGCTTAGCTTAAAATCCAATTATAATTGTTGTGATTTATTGCATGTATAATTTAGATATAATAAACTCCTGGAATTAATTTTTTTAATTAGGTAAAAGTTCTGAAACAAGTTAAACAAGTCAAGTTAACCATCATCTGCTTTTCATCTTTTTAAAGATGAAAAGCAGATAATGGATAACTTTTTTTTTAAGTTTCCTTAAAAAAAATTTCAGTATTCTGTAATAAACAAAGGTCAATGAGATGTTTGTCTGGTTTTCAGTGACAGATCAGGGAGGGGGAAAAGGTTAAGGTATGCATTCCCCCCCCCCCCCCCCTTCCCACCAGAATCTGAACGTCCTAAAATTTCTTAGTAATTGAGGACCTTTTTTTTGTTTTGTTTTTTGTTTTTGGTGATGCAAATGTGGTACAAAATACTAAAGTATTTCAATATCCCTCCTCCCCTTCCCCGCCGAAAAGTCATGGATCTGTTTTTTCATTGTTGTTTTTTAAGTTCCTTACACTTACTTTGGTTTTGATTTTTTTTTTTTTTTTAAGTTTTGATCAACATTTTGATAAAGAGTATTACTATTATCTTAAATAATTAAATTTATAAGCTAATTATCATCTTAGATTTTTAAATTCATAAGCTAAATTATAAATTATTTTCACAGAATTCAAAGAAGCATAAAAAAATCTAGAAAGGAAACCATGATAGTGTCAAACTTTGTAAATAAATCAATAATAATCTTTGTTTTACAAAGAAATATGTGAAAAAATGTGTCCAAGAAGTGTTGATTTAATTTTAAATTATTTTTTAAATTAATTTAAGAAATAATTGTGTTAAATATGTTAGCTGGGATCAAAGTTTTGAAATATGTATATTGAACTTGACACTAATTGACATTTAGCTTATTAAAATTTATTCAAAGTTTATCGTTTAATTTTATATGTATTTTTGTTTTATTTTTAGTGTTTGTAAATTTTTTTTATTTCTTTTTGTGTCTCATAAAGTCTGTAATTAAATGTCAATTATCTAATATCATAAAATTAAGTTAAAATAATGTAAAATATAAGGCTTTAATAACTTGGGAGTGGGGGATGCTTAATAGTTAAGAAACACCAACAAGAAATATTTATAAAATTTTAGATGAGTGTTGTTTGTTATGGTAACAATTGTTATTTTAGTTAATAAATAACTGAGCTAATCAGAAGCAAATATCTTTTTCAAAATATAACTAATGTAAAAAAAAAATAAAAAAAAATGAGGGGTTCAAATTTTAAATAAAGAATGTTAAGAGAAAATGAAAACAAATAAACAATAGGGTTTTTCTTCCAGCCAACAAGCATATTTTGATTTTGATCTTTCATTCATTTGAAATTTCATGGGATAAAAAAAAAATTAGTTTTAAAGTAAGTTAAAGTATTATATTTATCAGATGTTTAATTTTAGACTTGGACAAAGTAATATACAGACTGCAGCTAGTCTAGCTGTGGCACAAGGAAATGCGTCTTCAAAAACAGAGGTTACTGAAATTTTTATTGAAATTACATTCATCTGTATTTTTATTAGATAAAAAAATTTCATAATTTTTTTATCTATTTTATATTTATAAATAATATTTCTAATATTATAGTTATTATAATAAATAATTATTATTATAAATAATTATTATTATAAATAATAATAGAAAATATTAGTTATAATAAATTGAAAAACGACTGAAGCTATAAATATCCTTTGTTAAATATTATTAGACAAAATAAGACTAATAAAACAGTTTTGGAACAAACTGCAGAACAAAAAGCACGGTAACACAGTCGTCAGTGTCTCATTGCAAAACAACAAATTTCTTATTCCTTGTGCACTCATTTTTTTCGTCTTTATTTTTTGATATAGTACTCACAAGCCTTCATCGATTCGTACAATACTCCAGGTATGAATACTTATAGTGTGAACAGATCTAACAATGGAAAAGGTAGTATGAATGAACATGGCTGCCATTGATTAGGAGGGAAAAAGCAATTAAAATTAAAAAAAAAAATTACACGATTATCTCGCTATTACAAAAAAGCTTTATTTAATTTTTCAAAAAAATAAAAAATAATTTTAGTTTGCTTTATTCCCTCTGCAGTTTTTTATGGCAAAATTCGCTCAAGTTTTCTAGCAATCATTTTCAATGGCAAATTCTTTTAAATCGGATAAATGTTTTTAAACGTAGTTTGAAAGAATTTTCCTTTTTTATTGCAGGTCAACACCCACTGAACACTCAGAAAGGTAAGCAACAAATAGTATTTGTATCGACTCTTTAATTAGCCAATTTTTACTGGAATGGTTTATAACTTGCAAAATAATAATCACCATGGCATGATCCAATTCAATTTAGACTCCCATATTTTAACATATTTTGTTTTTCTTTTTGCCACCTCAAAAAATATGAACATTTGAACTGTAATTCTAATCTAAAAAATTTCTATATTTATAAGTGTATTTTAGACTAATTAGAAATTGTGTCAAAATATTGATAACTATATAATTTATTTTTTAAAACATCTTTGTTGAGGTTTACTAATAAATATTGATTTTTTAGGTCAAAAGCTTAAACCCCCTGTTCCAAATCAACCATTATCTTCTACCTACACATTTGATGCTGCAACAGGCTACTATTATGATTCTGTTACAGAACTTTATTATGATCCAAATTCTGGGGTATGTTAAATCAATAGCTATTTCTTATTGCATTCTATGCTGCTTGCCATATTAATAAGCAATTTAATAAAATGTATTAAAAATGTAATTTATGATGGTTTGAAAATGTAATGTATAATGTAATGTATGATGGTATATTAATGTAATGTATGATGGTGTATTAATATAATGTAGGGTAGTGTATTAATGTAATGTATGATGGTGTATTAATGTAATTCATAATGGTGTATTAATATAATGTATGATGGTGTATTAATGTAATGTATGATGGTATATTGATGTAATTTATAATGGTGTATTAATATAATGTATGATGGTGTATTAATGTAATGCATGATGGTGTATTAATGTAATTTATAATGGTGTATTAATATAATGTATGATGGTGTATTAATTTAATGTATGATGGTGTATTAATATAATGTATGATGGTTTACTAATGTAATGTATGATGGTGTATTAATGTAATTTATAATGGTGTATTAATATAATGTATGATGGTGGTTAATGTAATGTATGATAGTGTATTAATGTAATGTATGATGGTGTATTAATGTAATTTATAATGGTGTATTAATATAATGTATGGTGGTGTATTAATGTAATTTATAATGGTGTAATAATATAATGTATGATGGTGTATTAATGTAATGTATGACGATGTATTAATGTAATGTATGGCCGTGTATTAATAAAATGTATGGTGTATGATTAAAAATGATTTAGTAGCATTTTCTTTATTATTATTATTATTATTATTATTATTATTATTATTATTATTATTATTATTATTATTATTATTATTATCATTATTACTATTTTCTTATTATTATTGTTTTTATTTATATTTATTCTTATTATTTCTTACTATTTATTTCTTCTTATTATTATTTATTTTTATTTATATTTATTCTTATTATTTGTTTTTTTATGTTAATAAATGACAAAATAACAAGTAAATAGTTAAATATAAAAGTAAATAAAAGAAACAATATAATTTAAAATAATAAATGAACAGTAAAATTACAGAATTATCAATAATTAATAGTGGTCAAGTTTTAATGCAATTTCTTTTTATGATTAACAAAAGTACTACTACAACGCAACCACTGGTCAATACCTGTTTTGGAATGGTGCTCGATATCAAGCTGTCAATCAAGATGGGTAATTTTCAAGATTTTAAAATACTTTTGAATAAAATTTAAAAAATTTTATATAAATTAAATCATGATTTGTTTTTTCAGAACACCTATTGTTTCTAATACTGCCACAAATAATACAGTTGAGGCTCCACCTCCGCCAGAAAAAAATGAGAAAGGTAATTGTATTTAACTTAGTTAATTACTATATATTAACTTTTTCAAGAAGTTAGTCTATCAAGATAGACAGTTTATGCATATTAAGGGTTTGATATGCATAAACTGTCTATCAAGGTTTAATATACAGGTATTCCATATCAAAATTAGTCCATGTTAGCAGAATAAATTTTCAAAATACAAAAATATGCATCAAAGGACTAGACCAAGCTGTCAAGTTCAAGTGAAATGAGGAAAAAAATTAGGAAGAAAGGGTAAAAAAATTTTAAAGATATATTGAGCAGATGTTCAGAACAAAATAAAGACACTATAGCAAAGCTTATAGTAAAAAAAAAAGAACAAAAGAATGTAGGCACAAGGTTTGATAAACAGGTATTCCATATCAAACTTAGTGTTAGTAAATAGAATGAATTTAATAAGAAAGATTTAGTGTTAAAAATTTTTTTTGTTAAATGAGCTTTGTTAGTAACAAGTATTTTAAAATTTTAGTTTAAATATTTTTAACTTTGATTTTTTGTTTAGTATTATTTTTATAAATTTTTGATTTCTAATTAGATAAAGTTGGTTTGAGCGGAAAGAAGCCAAAAGAAGCCAGAAAGGTATGATTAAGATAATTTCTTTTTGATTGAGTTGTTACTTATATTCATTATTGTGAGCAGATTTATCAAATGTGATAAAAGATTGCATTTTCAATTTTAAATTTAAGTTATAGTTCCATAGTGATTTATTTTTATTTACTTTTTATTTTCATTAACATTTAAGGCTTAAAATGAATCAAGTTTTAATGTTAATAAAATAGCAACAAGCTCATTTTCAAAACGTGGTTAATCCAAATTTTGGGTTTTAAGAAAATCAATCTTTTTTCCTATGTAATGAAATTAAATATTTTGAAATAACTAGTTATTTATTTATTTAAACATGTATTTTATTAATAAGACTACAATGACTATTGTAATAAAGTATAATAAAATCAATATTTTTTGTTGTTACTTTTGTTATATTTCAAAAGGCTGTATATCTAAGTATTGCTTATTAATAAAACACTTTAAATCCATTTTAATTTATTTCTTTAATAAATATTGTGTCATGTATTGAAGATCTACTTTGCAAAACACAGGTTTTCTTATATTTATCATATTGTTTTTATAATATTGTTATTTGATATTATTTAATTTAAATATTTATTTTTAAAACAACTCAAATAGGTAACTATAAAAGCGTATAAAATTTTATGACTCTTGTCATAAATTAGCTCTTTTGATTTAATAAAAGAAAATCAATTATAACAGAAAAAAGAATGGTTTATGTTGGAAAAAAAGTTTGTCTAGTTTAATATTTATACATCAAATAATGCACACTAAAAGAATTCACAGATAAAAAATATAAATGTAGTTATGAACTGTCTTCTTCACTATAGTTAGTAACATCTTCAGTGGCATGACAGAGCAGTGTTTTATACATGACAAGTATTCTGTCTTCTACTCTTACAAGACAAAGGATACGAGAAACATCTTTTTTAGCAAGCTTAACACAGTTCTTTAATTCCAAGTATTTTTTTCAGAAATTGTCCCATTTCTTCCTTTTTTAAGAAGACTATGTGTGATTTGGATTGAATGGTAACTGCATGCAACCACTTCTAGCTTGTCAGAAATAATAAGGCGCTTTTTTTTGCTTCACTGATTTTTAATGTTTTTGTGTTCTTGACAAACTTTTTCACTTCTGATTTCAAGTCAAGTGCTGACCAATCTTGCCCATAAACCATGACTTTTCCATGTCGGATAAGTATCTTTTTTTTATATTGAACTGAATTAGACCAAACACACAACCTGCTGGCAGATATGAGTGCCCACATTCTGTAAACATATGCGTAGTATGCAATTTCTTGATTACTTTCTTTACTTAACATTACTTTTGTGTTTTTGTTCTGTCCATATCATGAATCAAAAAGCACCCGAATTGATGAAACATCCAAAAACTTATCCATTAAATCTTTTTTTAATAGATGTTGTACAGCTGAACAGATTATATTTGAATCTTTTTAATTCTCACACTCCAGCCACATAAAAAAAAATTACTAAAACAAAAAAAAATCGTTAAAAGACTTTATTGACCCTGTGAATAACAATGTCTAGAACATATAAATCTGCCAAGATTAGTAGGCTTCTCCTATTGATAATTTTGGTAGTGCAAGATTCTCCATCATGTCAAAGCAGATAGTCAT